ACATGTCGTCCCCTTTTTTGTTTTCTATTTTTTATTTTAGAGCTTTTATATATTATTAGTAATACTAGTAAAAAATAATATTTAAATAGTAATAGTATATAAATAAATAAGATTACTCTTTTTTTTTTATTTTTTTTTTTATTTTTTTTTTTTTATTTATTTTTTTTATTTTATTTTATTTTATTTGTTAAAGCCAAAATAATAAAAAAACGATTTTATTTTTTTAGCTAGTTTGTTTTAACATTAAATATCTACACCCTCTTCATTTATTTTTAACATATGTTTTTATTGGTTGACACATTATAGTAAATATTATTAAGATACTAATCTAGGGTGTGTAAATTTTAGTGTGTGTGGTTCATTGTGTGACCCATTTTATTTGAATTGTACTCTATGTGCCATAACACTCACACTGTTAAATCCTTTCCCAAATCCCCATATTAAATCTGTTTATACTAATTTTTTTATCTATACATTTATTATTTAATTTATTTTTTATAATTTTAATTTTATATATTTATTTTTTAAATAATTTTTTTAATATAAAAAGGATTTTAATTCAAACCATTCAAAAGCTTCAAACAATTCAACTAATTAATTAATTAATTAATAAAATATAAAAAACCAAAAGGCAAAAGCATACATTTTTTATTTATAAATATCAACTCTTTTCAAATTTACATTTTTTAAAATCAAAAAAAAAAAAAAAAAATATTTTTTTTTTTATCAAATTAGACCCAATTTTTTCAAATCTTTTTTCTCAATATTTATTTAATATTTATTTATTATCTATTTATTTATTTATTTATTTATTTTCATTAAAAAATAATTATTTAATTTACAAAAAAAATCAATTTAATTTTTTCGAAAATGTTAATCTTGTTATTATTTGTTATAATCGCCATTTTATTTATTGTCAAATATGTAAGTATTTTTAAAAATATAATATTTAAAAAAATAAAATTTATTAATTGTTTGATTTAATTAGTATAAAAATAAAAAATTAAATAATAATAATATTGAACCTCCTGGTCCATTAAATTTACCATTTATTGGAACTTTATATTTGCTTTTAAAAGATCCACATTTAGCAATCCAAAATCTTTCGTTTAAATATGGTAAAGTAATGACATTGTTTTTTGCAAATGTAAAGACTGTAGTAATTTCCGATCCAAACTATCTTAAAGAGGTATTTGTTAACCAATCCGATAAATCCACTGATAGATTCTTGATGGGTACCGCTAAATTAATTGGACACGAAAAAGATATTTTATTTTCTAATGGCGACTATTGGAGAAACTATAGAAAGATATTAGCAATGTCATTCCAAAAGCTAAAGGACCATCAAGGTATTACCAAAAACGTCAGCGAAGAGGCTTTTAAACTATCAGAGGCTTTCGATTGGTATGCCACCTCTGGTCAAGTTGTTAATCCAGGACCATTATTTAAAATGTTTACCTTGAATGTTATTATGGAGCTCTTGTATTGCGATAGATCATCATATGACCTTAAAGAGCAACACCCAATCTTGATGGCATTGAAATTGGTTGAAGAAAGTTTAGCTGTTGGTAATGTTGTCGATCTATTCCCAATCCTTTCATCGTTCACAAAGAAATACAAAGATAATTTAACCCAAAATTTAGAAGCTGTCTGGAAATACAGTCAAGAATCGATCCATATGCACAGAGAAAAGCTTAGAAAGAACCCATCAAAGATTGACGACTTGTTAGACTTGTTTATTAGCGAAATTAATAATAGTGCAAACCCAGAGTTCTACAACGACGAAGGTCTCTACAGAGTATGTTCAGATTTGCTTTTGTCAGGAACTGAAACCTCATCTTCCACAATGTCTTGGTTGTTGTTATATTTAATTAATAACCCAAACTTTCAAGATAAGGCTAGATCTGAACTTTTAGAAGCTGCTGGTGGTAAAAGAAGAATCGAATTAAGCGAAAAAAACAAAACACCATTCTTTAACGCTTGTATTAAAGAAGCCTTGCGTATTAGACCCGTTGGTGCACTCTCTCTTCCAAGAATAGCCTCCGAGGATATCTCTTGCGGTCCATATACCATCGAAAAAGGTTCGCAAATATTGATGAACGTATACGGTTTAGCCATGGATCCAACCATTTGGGAAGAACCTGAAGTATTCAACCCATATCGTTGGTTAGCCTCCGATATGAATCAATCATCCTATGCCTTCATTCCATTCGGTTGTGGTGCTAGAATTTGCGTTGGTAGTAACTTAGCCAAAGACGAAATCTTTTTGGGTGTTGGAAACGTTCTATTAAATTACATTTTTGGTTCTGTTGATGGAAATCCAATTAGTGATAAAGGTCATTTCGGTATCGCACTTCAAACTTGTGATTATAATGTTAAATTAACAAAAATCTAAATTTTTTAAATTTTTTTTTTTTTTTTGGTAATTTAAAAAAAAAAAAAAAAAAAAAAAAAAAAAAAATTTTAAAATTTTATTTTTTTAATATAGAAATAATATTATCTGTATATAGGAATACTAAAATAAATTATATATAATTTAAAAATTAAAAAAAAAAAAAAAAAATTTTGGGAATTAAAAAAAAAAAAAAACCCATTAAAATTTTTTAAATTTTATTTATTTATTTAAATTTTACTTACCCTAATTTATTTTTCGTTGATAATTATGAAGAAAGGGAATAATCCTTAAAGGAATTTTTTTTTCTGATTAAAAATATTTTAAAAAAAAAAAATTAAAAATAAATGAATATTTTTAAAAAAAAAAAATTTTAAAAAACCCTTTTTTTTTTTTTTTTTTTTTTTATTTTTTTTATTTTTTTTTCAATTTAAATTATTAAATTTTTTTTTATTTTTTTTATTTAAATAATCGTGTGTCTTATCCTATCACATTTAAAATATATATTATTATAAAAAATCTATACCATAGCGTATAGTTATTATTTATATATAATAATAGTAACAAAAATATATATTATTTTTCTTATTTATTTTTTAAATAATAATAAATAATAAATAAGTAATAATAATAAGAATAGTATTGTTTTATAGATTTAGATATTTATTCATTCATTTATATAAAAGGAAGTTTGGTATCTAGCTTTATAATTTTATATAATTTCAGAAATAGGTTATTTGTATATAACCAAAATGCAGAGATTCATTGAAAAACAGTAATAACAACACCATTAGCATAATTATAATAGCATCATTAGTAATACATATAAAATCAATACAGGCATAAATAACTTTATACTTTTAAAACACCATATATAAAACATATAACAAAATAATTAAAAAAATAAGAAAAAAAAACATATAAAAAATAAAATGAACCAACAAAATTCAGTTTCATCATCGTCATTTTCTACAACCACACCCCCAACACCTCCAACACCTCCGGTTGTATATTCAAGTAGCTCAAATATAAATTCATCAACATTTAATTATAACTTTAATGTCAGATTTAATGAAATTGTAAATTCCATTACCGTTAATAAAGAAGGCACTCTTGTTTGTTTAGGTGGTAAAAAATCATTACAAATTGTAGATTTAGAATTACTTAGAAGTGTTAAAAATATACCTCAGCAAAGTAAATGGGATGTTAGTGTTGTAGATTGGAATCAAAAATCACCCAATTTAATAGCTTCATCAGTATGTATTACATTAAACTATTTTCAAAACTTTTAAATAGGAACTCTATATTAATGGATTTTAATTTTTTTTAACTTGTAGTCAAATCAAGATTCATTCATTTGGGATATTGAAAATCCAAAATTTCCATTGCTTGGTCAATTTGTAGCACATCAAAGAGCAATTTCAGATTTATCATGGAGTTTGTTTGATAATAATATTTTAGCAACAACAAGTGCAGATTCATTTGTTAATATTTGGGATTTAAGAACACCAAAAAGAGCAATGAAGTTTAAATCATTAAAATCACATATTTTAGGTGCTATACAGGTTAAATGGAATCGTTTTAATCAAAATGTTTTAGCTTCTGCACATGAAAGTTATTTAATGATTTGGGATTTAAGAGTAAGTTTTTTTTTTTTTAAATTTTTTAAAAAATTTTAATTATTTATTAACTTTTTAATTTTTTATCAATTATAGAAAGATAATCAAGAATTAAATACAGCAGTGCATTCATCTAAAGTATCTGGTATTGATTGGTCACATCATGACGAAAAAGAAATTTTAACCTGTTCTCAAGATAAGACTGTAAAGATATGGAATTATCCATCACCTAAACCAAAATCAACTATATCAACATCAAACCCAATTCTAAGAGCGAAATACTTACCAAAGGGAAAAGGTATAGTAACAATATCAGATCGTGGAGATAACTATATTAGATTATGGGGATTCAATGATTTATCAACACCAGTAGAAACTTTGATTGGACATTCAGATAATGTACGTTCTTTCGATTTTAGAGTGAAATCAAATTTCAACGACAATGATGTACAGATTGTATCTTGGTCAAAAGATCAATACTTGCGTCTTTGGAAATTAGAAGATCATTTAAAAGATATATTTGGAATTGAATATACACCATACAATCCATTACTTCATTTAAATAGCAGCGGTAGTAATATCAATAGTATCAATAATTCATTCGATTTATCTTCAACCACCGAAATTTTAAATAGCAACAATAATATAAATAATTTAAATATTAGTAGTAATAACATTATTGGTAATAATATCGACATATTAGAACCAAATAATATCAGTTTTGATTTTAATAATACTGAATCATCGCAGCAATTACAGCAATATCAACAATTACAAGAGGATGTAAATATGCCAAAGGATTTAGAATATGAATTAAAAGTAATTCAAAATAAAATAATAGATAAATATTTAAAAATTGAACAAGTAAATTTATTTAGAAGAACTTGTTTAGCAATATGTACAATTCCCAATATTTTTTATCAAGAAGATAATAATAATATGGATCAATCAATCAATAATACTATTAATAAAAATGAAGATTCAACTACTGTACAAATAAGATTTTCTTTTCCAGCATTATACCCAAACAACGCTGTTCCAAGTTTAGAATTTTTGCCACACGCTTCAACAACACCATTAAAAACAAATATTTTAATTAAAAATGTAAGATTTTTTTTCTTTATTTTTTTTCTATTTAAAAAACATACTAATTAATTTTTATAATTACCATTAGGCATTAAATGATATTTGTTGGAATAGAGTTTCACAAAATAAAACATGTTTTGAACAATGTTTAATTGAATTGGTAAAATTGGTAAAGCAGTATATTATTGATGAAAAACCAAAAGGAACTTTATTAAAAATCATTAATGAAGACAGTAGTGACAGTAACGACAGTATTTCTGCAGCTTTAAAGAACAACAAACCAAAAAATATAAATTTAAGAACATCAAGTGGAAGAATTGAAACAGTTCCTTCATTATCAACAACAACCTCAGTCTCTACCCCTTTAGCAATTAATACAACAAATACAAACACCCAATTTTTAACCGCAACCGTAAATAAAAACAATATAATGTCAAAGTCACCAAACTCACCAAGAATATTTGAACAATATAGATTAGGCGCAAAAAGAGAAAAATCACAACAAAATGAAATAATATTTTTAAATAACTATAAGGATTCAAATGAAGAACAATTACCATTATCACCTATTTTAACAAATATTAATAATAATAGTAATAATAGCAATAATAATTTGAATGGTTCATCCACTTTGACAAATAGTAGCTCAAATAATGAACTCTCTTTATCTATTCATAGAAATTCATTTAATCCAAATAGAATTCAAGAAAACTATCCATGTCCACGTTTATGTGGTGCTGTATTTGGTGGATGTAATAAATTAATTGTTTTTAGAAATACAATTTCATCATTAACAAATGATCAAAATAAAACATCATCACAACCACCATCAATATCTAATAGTGTAAATGGTACCAAAACATCGACATCCACATCAACATCAAATACTAAATCTACTGCTGAAACTGCTCAAACAACAGCAATACCTGTATCTAATTCATCTTCATCCTCAAATGATAACGATAATAATCCTGAAAATAATAAACTTGAAAATACAAAAAATAATAATAACAATAATAATACTATCAATACCAATAATGATAACAAAAAGAATAATAGTTTATCATCATCCACAAATCTTTTATCTTTATCATCCTCATCATCAGTTTCAGATTGTGTCACCACAACCACCACAAATACTATTCGTTATATTAATCCACCAAGAACCTATAAAGAACTTTTAAATATAATATCAAATGTATCAGCATCTGTAACAACTTCTTCAAATGTAAATGTAAATGCAAATGGAAATGGAAATGGGAACGGAAATCGTACAAACTTATCACCAAATCCAAATAGGTCACACACCCATCACCATCACCATACTCATATGAACAGTAGCTTTGATAGTACAACAACCTCAAGTAAACAATATTCTTCCTCGCCATTCAATGACAATCCTTTATTAGTAAGTATTATTAAACCATCTTACCCCCTTTTATATTTTTTATTTTTTTATTTAATTTTTTTAAAATATAAAATTTGCAATGACGTTGTTTAGATAATTTTTAATTTTTTAATTTTTTTTACAAATTATATTTTTATTTATTCAAAAATTAAATACATATTAATTTTCTTTTTTTTATTATATTAGAACGATTATACAAAAAATATATTTGGTACACCACCACAACATTCAACATTTAGTGTATCATCCCCAATATCCTCATCACCAATATCATTAAATTATCTTAATATGGATAATGATGGTGTATTAGAAGGTATTGACAATCTAGAACCTATTAATCAATCAAATTCTTCTTCATTAACCTCATCTCCTTCATTCTCTAAAGGCGCTCAAATTTCAAATACATTCCAAGCTATTCAAAGAACAATGAAAATTTTAGATATTTCTTCTTTATCATTATTAAATTATAATTTAGCCAATTCATATATGTAAATATTTTTTAAAAGCAATATATAGTTTTATATTTTAAAATATATATACTAATTATTTATCTTTTTAAAATGAAACAGTTTATCTGGTAAATCCGTTGAAGAAATTTGTACATATAATTCACAATTAGCAGAAAAAGAAAATAGAAAAGATTTAGTAAAATTATGGAATACCCTTAGAATGGTAACAGATTCTAAATTATTTTTAAAATATTTACAACAAAATCAACTGAGCTCGAGTTCAAATATTTTAGTAACAAATATGTCATCAGGTCAACTTAGAAAACCTATTAAACTAGATTCTCAGCAAACTCTTTCATTACAGCAACAAATTCAACAACAACAGCAACACCCACAATCAATGTCCTCATTTTATCAATCATCACCTGGCCAACCTCATTATTTATCTTCATCATCATCGTCATCCTCATTCTCTCAACAATCATCTTTATCACCACTCCACCAATCATCACCTTTATCTTTCCAACAACAATTACAATTGCAACAACAACAACAGCAATTATTACAAACCCCAAATTCACCATTACAACAACAGCAACAGCAACTACAGTTACAGCAACAATTATTGTTACATCAACAGCAACAACAACAACAGCAGCAACAACAGCAACAACAAGAAATATTACAGCAACAACAAATTAATGATAATGGGTGGCCTAACCATCCTCTTGGAAGAAAGCTTGTAAAATCTCTAATCGACTACTATAAGAAATTGGGCGATATTCAAACTCTTGCTATAATATCTTGTGTTTTAATCCTCTCTGCAAACCAATTACAAAAATTAAAAAACAACTTATCCCTATATGATGACTCTTTAGATTCACCAAATCTTAATAATTCTTCAGGTGGTTTTTCTCCAATTTTCAATTTCTCATCATTATCGATTAGTTCTCCATCGGGTGTAGATGAAATGGTTTCAAAACAAAAAAGTCATATATCAAACTTTAATATTAACAATAGCCTCAACCATCATCATTATTACCATCATTTAAATGAAACCTACGATCCAAACCTTTGTCTATTAGACCCAAGCAATTCAAAAATATACGACTACTATAGACAACTCTATTCAGATGTTCTCTATCGTTGGGGTCTTCTGGAAAAGAGAGCCGAAATGTTAAAATTCATTCAAAACAAAGAGCCTGATAGAGGTATTAACTTTTCAATTGAATGTATTAAATGTAATAGAAAACTCAACAACTTTTTCTGTAACAATTGTAAAATCTATGCTGTTAAATGCTCCATTTGTAATATCTCTGTTAGAGGTCTTTCTAGTTTTTGTGTATATTGCGGCCATGGTGGTCATACAAATCATATTAAAAGTTGGTTCGAACAACAAACTAAATGCCCAACTGGTTGCGGTTGTGTTTGCTCATTTAATTTACCTTTTATTCAAAAACAACAACAACAACAACAACAACAACAAAAACGCCAACAAAATGTTTATTATCCAACAACTGACACTCATTTCCATTGTACTGGTTCATCAGTATCATCCCAACCACAGTCTCAACAACCACAACAAAACTCTTCTTATCACAATACAATTTTCCAACAATATAACCCAAGAAATAGTGGTAATAATATTCCAACACATAGAAGATACTCAATTTCCTCGTTTGATCATGTAGATGTTAGTGATAGCAGTTATAATGATTATTTATTTAATCATCATTAAAAGCAATAATTAATAAAAAAAAGTATAATAAAATAAATATATATTAAATCTATATATATTAATATTTTTAAATTTAATAATTTTATTTATTTGTATATTTATTTATTTACTAAAAAATGATTATTTAATTCTCTGACCAAACGGAAACCCCACATATTTGATCTGGTTTGAGATGAATAGTAACAATTTCTATATGCAATTCTGGTGTGTTTTATTTCATATATCCAACCCCCACCCCTTAATATACCAAACTTACACATTGGATTAGTGTCTATATCATTATAATTCCAAGCCAAACTATCTGTTGGTGCATTTTCAAATGAACTATGCCAGCAATCATCTACCCATTCCCTTGCATTACCTGTAATATCATAAAGCTTGAAACCATTTGGTAAATAACTTGCAACCTTTGAAGTTAGAGCAATTCTATCATTACATTTAAAAAAGTTTCTTGGAACTTTGTATCTGGATGCTGTTGTTTGGTCAAGTACATTTGCATATTTACAAGCATTTTCAGTACTGTTACCCCATAGGAAAATGTTATTTCCAGTATTGGCCCTTGCAGCATATTCCCATTCAGCCTCACTTGGCAATCTGTATTGTTGTTTAGTTTTCTTTGATAACCATTCTGCATATTTCCTTGCATCCTCTCTTCTGACACATACTACTGGTTGCTTTCCATTTTGAATCACTCTTGGGCCAATAAAACCTGGGTTATTATAGTCCCATTCTATATCTGTGATATCTGGTTGACTTCTTGGTATTGGAACTATGCATCCTTTTGGCATAACATGGCCAGTTTCTTTCACAAACCTTCTAAACTCCTCTAGAGTTACTTCTTTTGATGCCATTGAAAATCTTTTCTTTATTGATACTTTGTGTAATGGTTTTGAGTAGCTGATATCATTTTTTGAAATTGTTCCATTAAAATAATCTTCTTCATTTTTTGCAATACCCATTAAAAATGAACCAACTGGTATTAAAACCATTTCTGGACAATAGAAATCATCACAATCTTTAAAGGTCTCTAGTGACTTCATCTTATGGATTTTAGTATCTACATATGGATTTATACTAGTCGACGCTTTGACATCTCTATAGTTTGGGTATTTTGAGCCAATTAACACCGTTGTTATTGATTTTAAAGTTGTTTTCCATTCTTTTAAAAACTGTTTTAAACGAACTGGCCTTTCTAAACTTGTTGGTGACGCATCATAATCTACTGATGATATTCTATTCTTTAGAAAAGCAACTTCTATTTCTAGAGAGCTAAGCTTTGGTTTTATTTCATTCAAAAAATACCCACAAAATGGATCGCTATCCCTATTGCCATGAATTGATACAAAGTTTCTTGAAATATCTACCAAGTCTTTTTGAAATTCCTCTATGTGGTGTAAAATAGATGAAAATGTTTTAAGTGATTCATTGAAGGATGTCCATCTCATAAGATTACAAACACCATTTATTCGATTAACTAGAGTGTTATTAATTTCTGGTTGTGTAAATTTTTGACAATAACATAAACTATTTTCTAAAAAAATAAATAAAAAAAGAAAAATTATTTTTTTAAGATTAGTATTATTATAACTATAAAATATCATGATTTATTATTATATCCGTACTAGTACTTTTTTTTTTTTTTTTTTTAAATAGAAAGAGAAAACTGTCTTATTATTATAAAATAATTTAAAAAAATATTTTGATGTGGTATTGTAGAATTATGAATAGATTGTTTAGATATATTATATACTAAAATAAAATTTTTAAAGAAAAAAAAAGTAATATGGTTTAAACTTGACCAAATTTTTCCAAATTGTATTTTTAAATTTTATTTTTATTTGTAAAAAAAATTATAATTTTTTTTTAAAAAAAAAGAATAAATTGATAAATAATTAAACCATTTTAAAACCATTACTATAAATCTTAAAAAAAAACAAATAATGAAATAAAATATTATTGAAAAATGATGATTTAGAAATAGGTTAAAACTTTTTTTTTTTTTATAAATAAATTTAAAAAAAAAAAATAATAAAAAATAAAAATAAATACTTTTTTTAAATTTTTGGAAAAAATATTTTTTTTTTATTTTTTTAATTTTTTTTTTTTTAATTTATATTAATAATTTTTTTTATTGTTTTTTTTATTTTTTTTAAAATTAACATTAATAATTTTTTTATTTTTTTTTCTTTTATACACCATCTATAATAAATAATTTTTATCAGATGATTGAGAACAATCAAATTAATCTAAATAATAATAATATCACTGAAAATCCTAATAATGTAAATAATAATACTAATATTAATATTCAAAAACAACCATCTGCCCCCGAGGCTGTTGTAGTTCCCGATGGTGCATCTAATACTACAGCCACCATTGCCACAAAAAATAATTTAATATCTCCATCTCCATCAAATGAGTCACAGCAACAGCCACAACAACCACAACCACAACCACAATCACAACAGCAACAGCAACAACAACCACAACAACCACAACCACAACAAATTCAATCACCAAAATCACAACAAAAACAAATAAAAGATTTAGTGGATTTTTCAAAATATTATAGGGAAATAGAACGTAGTGAGTCTTCACCAACTCAAACTGTTCAAACTTTAATTCAAATCATAAATTCGAATACTCCTGATAAAATAACAGATTCTGATCATAAGAATTCAGCCTTGTCATTTGTTTCACAATGGTTACCCAAATATATTACTGGAATTTTATCATTAAAAAGGTAAGATATATTTTATCTATTTTTATTTTATTAAAAATTATAATTTTTTTAACTCTTTCTCTTTTATAATAATGTAGTTTATCAAATGAAATTAAACCAGAGATTATTATTTTCTTAAAATCATCACTCGAAATTGCCATAGGATATATGAACTATGATTTCCCAGAACTTTGGATTGCTTTTTATAGAATTTTTAATCCAGCTCATTCATTTTATTCAGGTGATAAATTTGGTTTCACTAAAGAGGATATCAACGATATTTATAATTATAAAATGGTAAATATAATAATTTAAATATTGAAAATAATTTAAAAAATTTTAATTATCTTACTTTTTAATTTTTTAGAAACAAGAAAGCCAAACATCATATTTTTATTTGAAAAATTTAAGTATTTTAGTAGAAAATAATTTTTATGATAAACTCATAAACTTAATTACATTAAAGCCTTCACTTGCAAGATTATCATATATAATTAAAGGAATTTATCTTGTAGGTATTAATTTATTAAAGGATAAACAAAAAATAATAAATATATTAATAGTTTTTTTTTAATTATTAGTCAAGAGAGTTTTTATCACTTCAATTCTTAAATAATTATTTATTTAGATTAAAAGAAGTTTTATATAATTACTTTTTAGATTTGTTTTACGAAGATTTGCCAGTACAAGAAAGAGAGCTATATAGAGAAATTTATCAAAATGTTCAACATATCTTTGCAATCATACTACCACAATCAGAGATTACGAAAATGTCTCAAGAGTTCGATTTAAATAGAGCATTAAGATGTTTTCAAAGTGTAAATTTAGAGAAAAAACTTAGAGGTTTAAGATATATAAAAAAAGAATCAACAAAATGCTTAAGAAAAGAAACTGATAAATTATCAATTTTAAATTTTTTAAGAAAGCAAAGACAACTAAATAATACAAATAACAATAATAATAATAATGGTAACAAATCTAAACTATCAGTCCAAGATAATAATAGTAGTAATGGAGGTAGTTCTCCAGGATCATATTCGCCACATTACCCAAGATCAGAACCAAATAACAGCAATAGCTCAAATAATAATGAACCTGTAAACAATAATTGTAATTCTAGTGAAAATAATAACAACAACGAAAATTTAAACAATGATAAAAATGCGAATAATAGCAATAACAACAATAATAACAATAATAACAATAGTAACAATAGTAACAATAGTAACAATAATTCAAATAATAATAATTCGAATAACAATAATAATTATAATACAAACAATCCAAATCCACAAATTTTATATGATTGGATATTAAAAAATGAAATTATAGAAAATTGTTGTAAAATTAGCGAACAACCAGATATTATCAGACATTGTATTCAAGTAATGATATTTCTTTGTCAATATGGAGTATTTGATAATGATCATATTGAATTGTTATGGAATTCCTTAGTTGGTAAACATGAATCCATCAAGAACATTATGTACTCTGCAATCCTCAGTTTAATCAACAATTTATTATTTGACTCTGTAGAGTTTTTATATCAACAAATCTATAGAACAATAGTTTCAATGAAATCAAGCGAGTTTGATAATGACCTTTTATTATTCTTATATAATTTTACAGTTTTATCAATTCAACATTTTGATAATCCAGCCAACAATAAGAAGTTTTTTGGTGTCGAAATTTTTTGGGCATTATGTACTCAAACTCAGTTAACCTCAAATAATAATAACAATAATGGTATAAATTATAATAGTAACAATAATAATAACTCACCAACAATTCAAATCAACGATAATAGTAGTTTAAATAGTGCAAATTTAAATACCAACAATTCAATTGAATTATCTCAAAACTTATGTATAAAAGCTAGAATTCATTTTATTCAAATTCTTAGATTACAAGAGTGCTCTTCATTACGTACCCAATATTTGGAAGTGGCCATCGAAAATTTAAAAAACAATATATCCATTGTAGAATCCTTAGCTGTAATTGTAAATATTATTGACCCAAAGAAACAAAAAGCCTTCATTGAAACATTAGAACAAAAGTATAAAATTTTTGATTTATTTTTTAAAGAAATTGCAAACTATAAAAAGACTGCTCAAGAAAAACTTAAAGCAATCCTCAGTAATTTGCCTGTAACTGCAAATATAAATAACTCAAGTAGTATGAATGATATACCAACCTCTGCAAATGCCATTGCCGCAGCGGCCGCAGCAGTTTCATCTTCAAACTCTCAACAACAGCAACCACAACAACAAGCATCTCATCAAATTAATTTAAATAATGTAGTATTTGTTGGCCAATTTCCACATTTAACTCAGGTTCAAGGAAGATTAGATTTTTTAGAATTTATTTTATCACAATCAAATTTAATGTTGAATATTCAACAGGTAGATATTCTCTGGGACTCATTTATTGCAAATGCTTTAACACCTGAAGAAAGAGAGCTTTGCTTCCTTTGGTTAAAGAATACAAAAATCTCTGGAAGTGCCTATCGTTCAACTATACCAGAAAATGTTATTCGTCATTTATTCCTTAATAAAATGCCCAATATGGATTGGAGCCATTTGGGTCCAGCCTCCTATAGTGTTTTTGAAAGATTTTTCTTTTTTGTCAATGAAAAATCAGGTAAAATTAAACGTTTCCAATCTTCAATTTTTGGTTCAACTGGTGAAATTTTAGGGAATCAATTAACAAAATCGAAATCGAATAATGGCAACTCACCATTATTACAACCTGTAAATAATAATAGTAGTCAACAACCCTCGCCACAGATATCACCACAACAATCACAACAGCAACAACAATCATCTCAACAACAGCTTTCAAACTCACCAATTCCTTCACCACACTCATCACCAATGTTAACATCTTCTACTGTAGCTAATCAAATTCCATCTGACTATACCCCCTCAGACTATTATATTGCAAGCACAGATTTAATAGGTATCAGTTATCTTTGGTCAATTGCATTAGACTGTGTTAATCAAGATCTTAGCAACTCAGCTATAAACACTCTTAATAATCTATATCAAAATGGTGAAAATCAAAAATCAATGAAATTCAAAGAAGAATTTATAAAGATATGTATTGACAATATTGGTAGAAATCTCTCACAAATTAAAGTTCAAGCCAAAAGAGAAGAGTCTGTAAATAGAATTTGTAGAGCTTTGTCAATGTTAAAAATATTTAAAGATACTAAGAATAATGACTCTCCAAGTAATGTCTCAGTGGATAAAATTAAAAACTCTTTAAAAAACTCATTCTCTAATGCCAGCTCTCCATCACCATTCTCTGATAGACCTTTATCCTTTCTTGTTAAATTTGATAGAGGTGACTCCTATATTATATCTGATATTTTCGTTACTGATACTCTTAGAATGTTCAAAAGAAAAGTTGCTGCAATATATAATGTTATTCCAAAACCAACTGTAAAGTCATTAAAGGTGTACATCTCTGACAAAGAACTAAAGGATGATGATAAAACAATGGAAGAATATAAAATTTTAGATGCAAACGGCTCACAACTCTATCCATTATTTGTAAAGCGTACTATTACTCCCTCATCATTACAACAATCACCCTCACCAACACCATTTTCATCACCAATCTCAAACTCATCACCAAATCCACAATCTCAACAGCAACAACAAAACTATCAATCATCACTATTACCAACTACAACCTTGGCTCAACAAGAATCTTCTAAAAAAGATAAAGAAAAAAATAAAAAGAAAAAAGATAAACTTGGTAGTAATGATGATTTTGAAAACGATAACGATGAAGATGTTGATGTATTAGATGATGCCCCAATACCCTCAATTATTATCGAATCGCTTCAACATCAATTAGGTGGTTTTGGATTAATAGGTGATTTACTTTTAAGAAAGGTTCAAGATGTAAACCCAAAACTTAAATTTGGAGGTGGTCTAAAATCAAAGAATGAAGATTTAATTATTTCTATTCTCTCAAAGTCAACATATTTTGATCAAATTTTCAACTTATTAAATCTTGAAGAACAAATTATTGCCGAAAAAGCTTGGGATATACTTTCAGAGCTTCCACTAAATGAAAGACTATATAAAGAAATCAAAAACTTGTCATCTGATCTATCAATTCTCTTCCCAACCCAATCAATTTTTAAAACCCAATACTCTTTGAAAGTTTTTGAATCAATTTTAAAACCAGCCACATCAGCATCCTATAATTCAATACCAACAAATAGTAACATCAATAGCTCCGCAGCAAACAATGAAAAGCCAAGTAACTTTTCACTAAGTGGTAGTAATGAATCTCTTCCAATTATTTCAATTTCATCACCAAGCAATGTAGCCATTAGCAACAATAACAATGGTAGTAACGGTGTTGTTATGAATGGTAATATCAACGGTACCCCACAATTAAATGGCTATCAACCAACATTAGAAGATATTAAGAATATGTTTATAAAGAAAAATGGTGTTGGCTATTTGGTCAAAGTTTTCATTCAAACTCCAATTACAAAACAAAAAGGTACTATTAAAATGTTTGGTTCAATTTTAAAAACCCTTTCTTCAATTGCTTTACTTCAATCAAAAGATCAATCAAAACCCTCATACTCAATGCAAAAGAAAGAGTTTAGAAAAGAAACATCATACTCAATGGGACCAGATTTTATTACCAAACTATTTGATGTAATAGCCTGCATATGTCCAATGGAAACTCAAGGCAATGTTAAATTAACTGACGATTTAAATATACTTTGCCACTATGGTTTAGAAATTTTTATAACTTCAATTTTATCAACAAACAATGCCAATAATCCAAATGGTGGTAATAATAACAACAGCACTAGCAATAATAATAGTAGTAAAAATAATATTTTAGATACAATACAACAATTCAACTGGGATCAATGGTTAAAAACCCTTTTATTAGAATGTTCTGATCGTATAATTCAAATTAAAGTTTCAAATCTTATTTTAAATATTACTACAAATTTTAAATCATCAAATGAACATACCCACCAAACCATAGATGTATCTTTATTCTTTTTAAATATACTCTTAAACTTTTTACCACAAATTAATCAATATCATTCCACTGCAGAACAATTCTTTTGTTTATTATCAGATTTATTATGCATAGGCTATCCACCAACCCCCACATCAACACCAAAATCGATCAATGGTAAACATCAACAATCAAATATACAAAATAATAACAATAATAATAGCTCATCATCCCCATTATCATTATCATCCACACCAAAATCCACAAACTCGCTACCAATTGCCAAAACTTCACCAAGAGACTATGAAAGTGCCAATCTTTATGATAGTCATCATCAAGATAAGAATGAGTCTGTTGATTTTATTAGAAATCTTCTATCCAACCTTATTCACCAATTAAAGACTATTCAAACAAGAGAAAGAAATAATAGTGATCAAAAAGATCATGTTTTAATTGGTATTTTAAATGGTATCCGTAATTTAATTCGTAGAAGATCATCGCTCAAACAACTATGCAAAGAGAAACAATTAACAGAATTTCTTTTCCACAATTGCTTATTTATGACACCATCAGCAAATGACCATGGCTCATTAGATCAACCACCACTCTGTAAAATGAAATGTACCAGAACTGCATGCTTCCGTTTATTGAAGGAATTGGCTAAAAATGATTCACAATCATTCAATAATGTTATTGACCTAATTATAAATGAAATCGATTCGATTGAACCAGTTAATGATTGGAATTATTCACCATTAGAAAAAGAGAAATCTATATATGGCTACGTTGGTCTCAAAAATCAAGGTGCTACATGTTATATGAATTCATTACTCCAACAGTTATTTAGCTCACCACATTTAAGAAATGGTATTTTATCAATGAATCTATCTAACTTAGTAAATTCGGTTTTAGAATTACAACAACAATTACAACAACAACAACCATCACCATCACAACAGCCAAACCAACAACAGCAACCAACAAATGGATATCAACCACCATTACCACCACCAACCTTCCAAAATAGCAATAGTCAACAGTTACATCAACAACAACAAAATTTACTCTACCCAACAAACCCTGGTAGTGGTATGATTCAGATCAATATTAATAATAAGGAATTACAAAAGAAAGCTGAAGATTATAACCTTTTAAACCAACTACAGCTATTATTTGTGTATCTTCAAGAAAGCTCAAAGAAATACTATGACCCATATAATCTCTGTAGAACCATTAGAAACTATAATGGTGAGATCATTAATCCGGGTATTCAAATGGATGCCTATGAATTCTTTTTATTACTATTAGAGAAGTTAGAAGATTTAATGAAAGAAATGCCACAAAAGAACATATTAAAACAAAGCTACGGTGGTGTCCTAACTAATCAAATTATATCAAAAGAATGTACTCATAGATCCCACAGAGAAGAACCATTCCTTTCACTTTCAATGGATGTAAAAAACAAGAGATCACTTGCAGAATCATTAGCCAGTTTCATTGATGAAGAATTATTGGTTGGTGATAATAAATACAAATGTGAATCTTGTGATGGTCGTGTTGATGCAATCAAAAGAACATTAATAGATAGATGTCCAAATACATTAATTTTGCAATTAAAAAGATTCGAATTTGATGTAAGTAAAAATAAATATAATAAATCTCATTAAATATATAATACTAATTAATATTTTTTTATATAAATATAAAGCTCGATAATATGAGAAATATCAAATTAAATGATTTTTACGAATTCCCAATGTTATTAGATATTGAACCATTTACAGTAGAATCAGTCGAAAGAAAAGAAAAGAGCAATATCCTAATGATGTCTTCAATGGATCCAAATGAATATAAATATACCTTGTCAGGAATTGTTTTACATCAAGGTACTGCGGATTCAGGTCATTATATTTCATTAATTAAAGATACAAATGGTTCTTGGTTTGAATTAAATGACACCTTGGTCCTACCTTATGATCCAAATAGAATTCCAATTGACTGCTTTGGTGGGTTTGATGAAGTTAGAGAAATGGACAAAGATACTCAAAAACCTATTATGGTAAAGAGACCAAAAACCTGTAACGCCTACATGCTATTTTATAATAAAGTCATTCCAAACTATAATGACGAAAAACAAGAATCAATCGAAAGAGTAGATAAAGAGTCAACAGAACCAATTGTTAGTAGTGAACAAAATTTAGTTGAAGATTCTAATAGCAGCACTGGTAGTGTTTCAATAGATACAACTAGTTGTAGTAGTAGCAATGCCCTCATCAACAATCAAAATAATCCTCTTCCAACCATTGTTACTGCTCCACCATCACCTTCACCAGCCAACAAGAATATCAACAGCGATAGTGGTAGCTCATCCTCTTTATTATTAAAGAAATCAAATTCAAACCAAAAAGTTTCAATGGAAGCACTCGAGACTGTTTGGAATGAAAATAAGATATACCTAAAAGAAAAATTCTTATATGATCTTGACTTTGCTACATTTGTTTGGGATATCGCCAATCTTTATCATAATCCAACATTCGATCCAATTAGCCCTACACTAGTTAACAATCTCAACACCTCTAAAGAGTATCAAGATTCAATTTTAGCAAGCATCAAAATATCAACCAAATTCTTAATCGAAATTTACTCACATTCTAAGGAGAAAAGAGTTATTGATGTTTGGGCCTATCATATCAAGAGATTATTACGTGAATCAATTGGTGGCGCTGAATGGCTATTAAATCTTTTGGTCGAGAAAAAGAACTTACTCAAGGGTGTTTTAATCTCATGTCCCTTTGAAAAGACCAAAGCAACCTTTGTAGATATCATTTCATTCACTGTAACTCTATGTAAAAACATTCAATTACCATCAAGTAGAAATCAAATTTCCCCATCAATTATCTCTTTGTGCAACATTTTAATGGTTATGGTAAAGAGCTATAAAGAATATTCAAAGAAAGTTTTCTCACTCTTATTAAATATCGTTCAAGAATGTGATATTGAAAGAGAATATCTTTTACAAAAAGGTATCATTTCCAAACTCATTGATACTTTTATTGGCTCGTATACTATCCTCGGCAACAATAATAGTGGTACAAATCCAAACCAAACATCCTCATACACAAGCTATAACTATTCAGGTGGATCTTCAAGCAGTGGTAGTCATACTGGTAATCATCCATTCAATCAAAACAACCAAAACAATCAAAACAGTCAACTATCCGAACCAAATAAACTTTTAGATTTAGTAAGTTATCTTATTAGACAATGCCAATCATACCAAGATTCAACAATCTCCACCTCTTCCCTCACAAACTACCCAACTGAAAAAGATAGAACCAAACCACGTGTACATATTGTTTTAAGTAATACTTTAAAAGCTTCACAATCAATATACAAATCCTATTCAAATGATTCAATTGATCCAATGCTAAATAATAATAAAATTAGCAACTCTATTTCTAGCGATCCAGATAGAAATGTAACAGTAACCAATCAATATGTTAATGGAAGAAGAAATTATCTTTATGTTTACTCTGACACAACTTTTATTTCAGTTTTATCAAAAGCATTTTTAATTAAAGCAATTAAAGAAAATGGTTCAAGTGATTCAGTTAAACTAATGATTAAACATTTGGCCTGGGATAATAAATTTGTTTCTAATCATCTCTTAAATGTCATCAAAGAAACTATCCTTAAATCACATGTTCAACTTTATTGGAACATTTTAACCTCACTTACATCTCTTTTAGAACTACAAGATCCAATTGCTCAATGGAGAGTCGAAACCTCAATGGCCTCATTATTACGTTTACCTGAAGGTATGGTCTATAACTCTGAAGGGCTCCCAGTTTTCTTAAAATTCTTGGGTAAAATTACCAATTTCAACTCATACTCATCCTCATCTTTTTCTGCAATGACAAACTATCTACCGATCCAAACTGATGAATTTTTAAATTGGAAATTAAAAAACAAAGATATAATAATTAAAACAATTAAAGATAGATAAATTTAAAAAAAATAATAAAATTTTTTTTTATTAAATAAATTTTAAAAAACTTTGTATTTTTATATTTTATTTCGTTATTTATAATTATATTATTTAAGTTTCTAAAAGTTGGTCTTAATTTTGTTTTTTAAAATTTTGACTATTAATTTAAAAAACAAGATATTTTTAATTTTTGTTAAATTTATTGGAAAAAAAGTAAATTTTATTTAATAATTTATACCATAAAAAAAAAAAATTTTAAAAAAAAGATAGTATAAAAACTTTTTTTTCTCCCTAACCATCAAGGATTCTCACAGCAATAACAAATCAATAAAGGTGTAGAATAGGTGGGAGGCAAAGCCATCAGTGAAATACCACCACTTAAAGATTAACTAGCCACTGGCTAGTATAGAATCCTGTTTTTTGTTTGGTGTTTTTTAAATATCAAATAATAACAATCGTTAATTTCATCAACATTACTACTTAAAATGGCAAGGCACCACCCTTTCAGGCACTTTATTTTTATCTGCATAGTAAAGTTTGCTGTGTATCGTTTATATAATTCAATAATATGTTTAGATTATAATCCATTTGATATATGAATAAATTGGACCATAATAAAGAAAATTTCCCCAAAATATTTCATTATCCCACCCTTTCTAACACTTGTCTTGATATGCAATTCTAGTAAAGCATAAGTTTCATAAGCGCAAGAAGACCTACCATGACTATTATCCAATTGTTGGAACTTTACTTCATCCATAAACATATGATTTTTCCATTGCTCCACAATAAAATTAATATTTATAAATAATCAATACTAAAATTTTTTGTATTTTTTTTTTTAGTATATATTTATAAATGTAATATTAATTAATATAATTGATTATTATTTATTAATTTTTTGTGTAATATATCACCCATCATATTATTAAACAAATAGGATGATTTAAATTGATGGTTATTAATATAACTAAAGTTTTATGAAATTACATTTTTATTTATAAAATGAAAATAAAAATTAAAATTAAAATAAATAAAATTTAAACTTTCTTTAAAAAGAAATAAAAAGAAATTTCTCAACATGAATTTAAAGTTATTAATATAAAATAAATAAATAAATAAATGATCATATAAATCAATAAATCTAATTTTTTTTTTATTAATTTTTTTTTTTTTTTTTTTTTTTTCATTTAATTAAAGAAAAATTTTTTTTGTTTAAATTAAACGTTTGATATTATTATATTTTTGAAAATTCAGGTTACAATGATTTATAAAATCATTTTTATTTAATTAAAAAAAATAAAAATTTATTAAAAAACACTCCGCCTTTTTTATTTTTTTATAGTATATATAGTATTTCACTCCGTATTATTATAAAAAAAAGGTGTCTATTTAAAATTTTTTTTTTTTTCGAAATTAGTTTTTATTAAATTCAAGCTTGCAATAAAAAGTCTTTGTAACCAGCCAAGTTTAAATTTTCAACTTCCTTTCTGTGTCCAATCAAGCAAATCAACTTAGCTTTAGAGTCTTGCTTTATTATATATATTTTTTTTTGTATCAGTTCACATAATCATTTTATTATTATTTTTTTTTTTGTAAATATATTTTTATATATATTTATTTTATATTTTTTATTTGTAAATAATTTACCCTCATACACTATTACAACAAATTAATTATAAATGGGTAACCTTTTTTCATATTTTATATCTATAGTAATGTAGTGTCCAACTTTTTAGATGAAAATAGAGACCAACAAAAGGATCAACCACCTCCACAACAACCAATCCCACAATCACCACTACCACCAATCCAAGAACCAATCCAAGAACCAACCCCAGAACCAGGACCAAAACCAAAACCAAAACCATAACAAAAGCCACCACCACAACAACAACAACAAAAGCCACCACCACCACAACAACAACAACAACAACAACAACAAAAACAAAAACAAAAACCATTTATTTTTATTATTTTTTTAAAATGGTGGTTAAAAAAAATATATTATATTTTAGTTTCAGACACAAATTTGCTATATTTTGAAAATTGTGGAAACTGTATTGGAAGTTTGCCATGTGAATTCCCCCCAAGAAGTAAGTTTTATTTACTTTAAATTTTTGCTTTATAATTCATACTAATTTTTTAATAGAATTCCGTTATATTATATGCGGATTTATAAACTATCCAGATAGTGACACTGGCATCTACAATAATAATAAAAAAAAAAAAAAAAAAAAATAATATTCTAGATAGAAATTATAATTATAAATTAAAATTATAATTATAATTCTTTTAATAGATTAGATCTTAGTAGTAACAATAGATAATAAAAAAAATAATGATTCATTCCATAGAATTCAAAAAAGAAAAAGAAAAGAATTTATCATACTGTTCAATATTCCAAGAGGTAGAGATCCAATCAAAGTAAAATACCTCTCAATAAAATCAACACCAGTGAATTTTTTTATTCTAATCAACTATTTGATGAATATCAGACATTGTTCTGGCCAAGCAACTATGGTATCATCAAATGGTTTTAGAGAAAGAAAAGATTTAGTGGTTTATTAGAAGAAAAGATTTAATTGTACTATCCGGCAGCTTCCAAAAACTTAAACAAATTGACACAAACTTTAATCTCAGTAAATCCATTTGTGCGTTCAATTGTTGGTTTTCTCTATTACCACCCAGATTTCATTATCTTAAGAGCTGCCGCTTTTATTTTATTTTTATTTAAAATTTTTTTAATCAATTAAACCAATAAAAATAAAAATAAATATAAAAATAAAGATAAATTCTTTTTATAAAGTTTTTTCAATAAAAGTTTGAAATTAATTTAAAATTTCATTAACATTCTTTAAAAGTTTCTATTTCATTTCATAATTTTTCAAATAAAAAAAATTAAAAAAAATAAAAAAAAAAAAATAGTTTTGTAATTTAAGTTTATAGTTTTTAAAATATGTACAGTAAATAAATAATTATTATTTATTAATTTATTTGGATTGGATTCTTTTTTAAATACTCATCAAATGTTGTTAATTTTGTGATCCCTTTTGCAATTGATCTATCATATGAATAAAATATACCAAATTTATTGAAGTAATCAAACATTTTAGCTATTTGTGAAGCTCCTTGAAAATGTAATTTTGAGAACTCTGTGGTTGGGACATAGTTATATTTTACAGTTTTTCCACCAGAATATTTAGAAATTAATTTTGCAATTTCGTCTCCAGTTAATTCATCACCAGCAAAAACCACAGTTACCCCGCTATATTTTAAAGGATTGGTTACTATTTGAGTGAATATTGGCCCAATGTCATTTATATCGGCAATTTCTAATTTCGATAATGGGTCTAGTGGGAGACTAAATAAATAATGATTTGAATTTGAATCTTTTTGGATTTTGAACATTTTACCAATTTTTTGCATAAATATTGGGGCATATATAAAAGAGGTTATGAACTCTGGATGGATTATTGAAACTTCTCTTGCATACTCTTCTATTTCGTATTTGAGGTCAAAGTGCTCCACTGGAAAAGAATTGTTTGATATTTTTCTAGCTGGTACAAAGCCACTAAAAATTAAGTGTCTAACACCAGCATTGTAAGCAGCCTCGACTGCTTTCTTTCCATTAGATGCCTCTTTAATATTGTGTATGAAAATATCGGTATTTAAAAACACTGCATAGCTACTATGTAAAGCCTTTTCTATTTCCTCTATGGTATCATTTGGGTCACATTTAACTACTTGACATCCTTTTTCAATTAATTTTTCTGCTGACTCTATAGAATCCTTGTCGATTCTATTTGTGAGGGCTCTTATATGGAATCTGTCATCATTTAATAAATAATTAACAATTGCATTTCCTTGTAAAGAATTAACACCGTCAAAAACAGTAATAAGATTCTTTTTCATTCTTTTAAATTTAAAGGGCCACAACTATTATTGGAGAAATAATAGTGAAGGGGTTTTTTATTTTTGTTTCTTTTCAAATCCTAAAATAAAAAAATAAAAAAAAAACATATCGATTATTTTTAGTTTTAATTTCAAAAAAAAAAAATATGATTTATTTTATTTTATTTAATTAAAATAAAATAATGGAAGTAGTTTTTAAAAAATCCATATTTAATACACAAAACTTTATTTTAATTTAAAGTTTTATTTAAGGGTTTTATTTCAGTTATAATTTATTTTATTAATTTTTTTAATTTTTTTTTTTTGTTTAAAAACACATCGCGTGAAGGTTCGCACGCTCGTTAAATAAAATTAAAAATAAAAATAAAAAAAAAAAATAAAAAAAAAAAAATCTTTTTGGGTTATTAATAACCTCATAAATTTTTTTTTTAATTTTTTTTTTAATTTTTTTTCTTCACTATTATGACTTGGGGGTAACTCCATGCATATGAT